AAATTGGGATCATTGCTTTAACAAAATTTATTTCCTTATATAACAAGACCGAAACGAATCGTAGTGAATCCACACACACACACACACACACACACACACACACACACACACGCACACGCACACGCACACGCACACACACACACACACACACGCACACACACACTTTGAGAGTATAACTGGTGATCAGTGCAATTCATTCGGTGGAGAAGAAGGCGATATTTAGTTTAAGGCAGTCTTGTCATAGCCATGAGCCTCCAAGAATGTTGATGGCATTCCGATTCATAATGAGGTTCTGAATTTGTGGGCTTGGCAATCATAGGGCAAGTGCCTACGTTTTTAAATATTACTCAGTGAAATAGACGATGATTTTTTGCTTCAGGTTGTATATTCTGAAGCTGTCTTCTTTTTAAAACAATACAGTTTATGAAACGCATTTATTCAGACGCACTTATGGTTGGGTTAGATTTTGTGTAGAAGTTCTTGTTCAGTCAGTGTTCAGGCCCCTTGTACATAATTTAGTCACTGGCGGCGTTTGTTCTCTTGAAGGTCTTCACTTTCATTTTACTTCTCGTGTTGTCCGTGCTTTGTACTCCCGACGAAAGAGACGTATAATGCTTTTATTTATAACCTTGGTTGATATTCTGGACGTCCCTGTGTCTATAACAATAATAAATAGCATTTATTTTGTACAGCGCAAATTCCTGCCCAATAGATAGCCATGTGTGCTTTACAATCTCTATTGTTATAGCATTTTAAAACAATCTCAGCTTCCTTGGAGGCACACAGTGCAGGCTGCCTGTTAACAGACACTAGAATAAATACACTGACACGATCTTTTGCTGTCAATTGCCGGGTACCCATACACACGTGGGTGAAGAGAGGAACATTCGTTTAAAGTACCTTTCACAGGGACATAATGTCGGGTCGAGCTGAACTCGCAACCACACGATTATGAGCCCGGTAGACTACCAACGCCACTGTGTCAAAGATATATTGGAGCGAAAGGAAAGTTTGATGTGTAGAATTTCTGTCCTTGTCTAACTTTATAGTTAAGAACAGAATTATATCTTTTAGCTTTAGATTTCTTGTATGTAGCCATGGGTGCCTTTGTGTTCTAACAGTGATCTCTGTTGTTGATGTTGTTGTTGTTGTTGGAAAGTTTGTTACGTCTGGTTTTATTGTAAAACAATCGTTTATGGCATAATATTCATTGTTAATCATGCGTTCGTACGTTCATGTTCGTGTGGCCTATCTACTGGATTTTAGCTAATGATCTATTTCATACGTTTGATTTGTTTCTTTGAAAAAATGCAGTGTTTTCCCATGGGACTCAGTGAATATCTTAAAGTACTCATCGTAAAGAATGTCACTGAAATGTCAAAAGATGTATTTTGGTGGCTTTTTGTTGTTATATTAAGAACATTTTTAATGTAGAAAATTGTCCTTTGAAAGGTATTTCTGTAGGTTTTAACTCGAATGTGTACTAACGGTGCTTCATTATGTCCTGTCGAACTTTTGTTCGTTTTCATATTCAGCTTTCTTTAGTGGCATCGCTGTGAAAAGTACTTTTACTTGGATCGAACATTTATGGTCCGTGGAGGTTGGGCAAAAAAAAGTACTCATTCGTTGATATCAACGAAGGTGACACGCTAGCATCCAGGCTATGCACACTTATATCGAAAGAAAAGAGCTCTTTATTTATCCATATGAAAATTTCGTTTACAATGGCGGGCCTTTGTGCGTTCATAGCCTGTGATAGCACAATCATGGAGCGTAAACAGTTTATTGAAACACGCCCACACAGCTGCTGTTCCTCGCCTCGGGCCAATCTCCTTGTTTGAGCCGAGGTTAACGTGCCTTGTTCTAGAAGTCGCCGCCCAGTACCTTCCAGTTCAAAAGCTGTTTACTCCTGATGTTGTTGGATAATAATTTGGTGAACCATAACTGCTCACTTCTCGCCCTTTGGTCGGTGGGAGTTCTAGTGAGGTTTGCTCTTTCTTTCCTATCAAACATGTTATGTCGTTCTCAGCTCTCCTCCTTCTTTTCTTTGTATATTACTTTTTAGTCACACTTCTGATATTTGGTACTTATCTTATATGACCTATTTGTGTTGCATATAATGCAAGTGCCATAAAACTCTTACCTAAAATAAAACTCGCTCTTCCGGACCCCACTAAAGGCCAGTATTAGACATCAATTTTGGTTGGCCTCACTTCTGTTTATTGCTTCATCTCAACTGGACATAGCAGCGATAAAGGGCCATTCCTGAAAAAAAGAAACTGTGGTGACTCATTGAAGGCGGGGATGACGACCAGCTGAAAATATTCTAAACAGTGATAGAGAAGTTTATTCCGGGGGTGGGGATGTTGTTGTTGTTGTTGTTGTTGTTGTTGTTGTTGTTGTTGTTGTTTTTATTGTTTTCTTTTTTGAGAAAGGTTGCCTTTAATAAAAAAAAGATAAAAAGAATAATACATAATGGCTCTATCATAGCTTTGAATTTTTTAAACTGGTTGTCAGCTTTGCGTTTCATTTGTCACTGCTGTTTCATTTTTCATGGAATGGTCCCAAAGACAAACCCTCGAAAAGAATAATTGCAGTGGTGTTTTCTTTCCTCGTCTTGCTTCTTCTGCAACAGGATGTTTTGGTTTGGAGCACTTTCCACTCCAGTTTCGTGTTTTACAGGCGTTTCTAAATACCGTCTCCAACCAAATGTTGCCGAGAATTGTTTGTTTTGGCACGCAGGATGTGAAAAAAGCCATTTCTATGTTTAATACTAAATCTCTTGCTCCCAGCTTTGGATTGTTCTCATTGTCTTGAAAGAGAGGAAACGTGGAGAGTGGAGAGTTGAGAGAGGGGGAAGGAAAACAGGAAGTGGGAGTTGCGAAAGAATAGCTTTAGATACTAGTTGCAATAGTGAGTACTTATGCTTTAGCTTTATTTTGGAGAAAAAGAATTGTGTATGTATATTGCACTTATTCAACTCCAGGGTGAGTTTAGTAAATACACTAGACTTCAAGCAACTATATCTACGTATTTTATGATGTTGTTGTCTTTGGTTGTTGAATACCGTTAGACTCATTTATTCAGACTTTGGAAATTTGTCAGAAACAATGTCCGTGTCCCCAATCCCATTTTCTTTTTACGTCTAGCAGAGTATCTACACATTGTTTGGTTGTGGTGCTTGATAGCCAGTGTGTATTACACAGACTTCTGATTTTGTTTTGTTTTGTTTTATTTTGTTTTGTTTTGTTTTTTTGAATGTTTCTTTGTGATATCTTCAATATAATGTGAATTGAATTAAACTACCTACTTTTGCAACACAGTTGTTCCTTGCTTTTTTTTATTTTAAGTTAGAATGTATATATATTTATTCTTTTCGTGGTGATATCAAGAGTGTTTGCAATGTGTTTAGAAGAGGCGTCTGTGCTTTACTGTCGCACGCAGGAGACCGGAGTTCGATTCCCGAGTGAGGAGGGAATTTTTGTAGAGTATGTCGGTGTTCCTGCTGGGATATTGAATACCTCACAGACTGGGTCAGACCTGACAGGCAGGTTCGGAAGCTCGCCCCCTAAAGGATCTAAATTATGTCTTTTTGGGCTGAAAAATATCTTCATGGTTCAAAATTTTAAGTCCATGTAGGCCTACTTAGGGTAAAAACGATATGGAGTGTGGCTGTGAATAATGGTGTTCGTATGGCTTCCAGTTTACTCGTCGCACAGTGAAGTCGTCACATACCTCCAGTGATCTCCTCACAGTTATCTCATCACATAGATCTACTCGATGTTGTGAAAAAAGTGTGGTGAGTTCACAGTGGATTGGCAGGCAAACCCACATAATGTCAACCTTTAATTAATAATATTCTAAAATACCAAACCAGAGTTTATTTAATCAAAATCTACACATGTCCACCTTTTTTGTTTCAACATTTTAAAGAGAATACGGACACAGTTGTGGGTGCCATATATACTACATGTTAAAATTTGAATGTCCTTACTGTATGCAATAAAACAAATCTAAAGTGGTAGAAGATGACTGGTGGGGTTGATGTGATGAGTTCACTGTTATTTGGATAGTTGATGTGATGAGTTCACTGTTATTTGGATAGTTGATGTGACGATTTCTCTGTTATTTGGATAGTTGATGTGACGAGTTCACTGTTATTTGGATAGTTGATGTGACGAGTTCACTGTTATTTGGATAGTTGATGTGACGAGTTCACTGTTATTTGGATAGTTGATGTAACGAGTTCACTGTTATTTGGATAGTTGATGTGACGAGTTCACTGTTATTTGGATAGTTGATTTGACGAGTTCACTGTTATTTAGATAGTTGATGTGACGAGTTCACTGTTATTTGGGTAGTTGATGTGACGAGTTCACTGTTATTTGGATAGTTGATGTGACGAGTTCACTGTTATTTGGATAGTTGGTGTGACGAGTTCACTGTTATTTGGATAGTTGATGTGATGAGTTCACTGTTATTTGGATAGTTGATGTGACGAGTTCACTGTTATTTGGATAGTTGGTGTGATGAGTTCACTGTTATTTGGATAGTTGATGTGATGAGTTCACTGTTATTTGGATACTTT